AAAACGGCTATTCCCAGACTGCCATAAAAAGTTATCTGTGATGTTTTAGTACAAAATCAATAACATTCATCTGGTATTACATACCAGCATGGGATATATTTGCTCTTATTTTTGTACACTGCACACGAACAAAAACAAAAATGTTGAGGTTAACAATGTGTGGATAATAATTTAATTATGTGTTGATTTACAAGTACTTTATGACGTGTATATGACACTTTAATTCACAATTACTTTATGACGTGCATGTTTGTTTCTTTGCTTGAATTTCGCGCAAAGCTACACGAGGGCTATCTGCGCTAGCCGTCTCTAATTTAACAGTGTAAATCTAGGGGAAAGGCAGCTAGTCATCACCACCCACCGCCAACTCTTGGGCTACTCTTTTACCAACGAATAGTGAGATTGACCGTCACCTTATAACGCCCCCACGGCTGAAAGGGCGAGCATGTTTGGTGGGACGGGGATTCGAACCCGCGACCCGCAGATTGCGAGTCGAGCTCCCTAACCACCTGGCCATGGCGGGTATATAACACTTCGAAAATAGATATTTTCTGCACCAGAAATTATGTCTACTTTCATATTCGTAAGGCACTATTTTCACAAATAAATGGTGCACTAGGTTCGAAAACGACTTTAAAATATAATTGTAATTATAAACAAAAAAACATTTAAGTTAGGGACACCAATTAACACTAGCGAGGCGGGTTCGAATCCATGTCATATCATAACATGTTCACTGCACTTTAAACTATGGGTGAATTATAGGAGTGAAAGTCATTTCCTTAGCGTGGATGGTGAGTGGTAGGATGTCGCTGACTGACTGCCTTCTCTCTGGTAAGTAGCTCAAACTAAGGAACGGCGGGAGGTATCATTAGTAGCTTTGCGATAAATACATAAAATCTTACGTCAGTGTATGTGTTTGTCAAGCGTTCCAAAAGGCAATCAGATCCTTTCCTGGATCCTTGACTACATCTGATAGTAATAAGTGAGCAGTACGGAACTTTACGTTGTTAGCCTAAAAATAATGTTCTCATGACAGAATAAATCGAGGAAAGATGAAAAGACACCATATCTAAAAAGTTACGAAAGTATATAGTTCAGAACAGGGTTTATTTTAATGTGCAGTAGACCCCATACTTGTGTAGTACTAAAATTTATAATAAAAACTCCAATGTCATATAAAGAAACAAAAAGCCAATGCATGACCATGATACTGAAAAGCAAAAGTACCTTTATTTACTGTTTATATGACAAGAAATATATTTTTAATGTTACACATACTGAATAGTACTTTAGTTTACATTTTGTGTCAAATACTACAATACTACATGGTAAAGGATGGTTAAAAGACTTAAAACACTCGTAAATGCAAAACTATGCAGCTAGTCATCATCACCCACCGCCAACTCTTGGGATACTCTTTTACCAACGAATAGTGGGATTGACCGTTACATTATAACGCCCCTACGGCTGAAAGGGCGAGCATGTTTGGTGTGACGGGGATTCGAAACCCCTAACCACCTGGCCATGCCGGGCCCGTTTATCGATAGTCTATTTTAAATGAATATATAAACATTTATCTTTTTCCAACCCCCCCCCCCCCCCAGTGGCACAGCGGTATGTCTGCGGACATACAACTCTAGAATCCGGGTTTCGATACCCGTGGTGGTCAGAGCACAGATAGCCCTTATGAAGTTTTGCGCGAATATCCGAAACAAACAAACAAACTTGCTTTCTTTTTTTCGTATTTAACGTTTCAGAATATGTTTTAGAACTCTCTACGTTATCGTGACTTTACACACTTGAAGATAGTGAAATTAAATGTTTATTAAGTGTCTTTTATCCAGGAGAATGAAGCTGTTCTTTTTACTGGGTAACTTTTTTTTGTAAGAGTTCTTGTATCGCCATTTTATCATACTTGCGAAAATAATAGTAATTATAGAATGAAACGTTTGGTTATTGTGAACAAGAATACGACACGTGTATGTCTTTTGGGTACGTTATAGAAGATTCAGATGATAAACTTTTTTAAACTAAATTCCCAACAACACTTCGACATTCAAAGCATGACCCTGTAAATACCAGAGTCGGAATTAATCTGGTATTTATTTGTTGATGTTCTTTGAAGAGCGGCACATCATCTTGTGGGGAAAGTCCTGCATTGTAGAAGGATTTCAGTCATAACCGTGTGGTTAATGATTGCTGAAACCTATATTTTATAAAAATGTCGTCAGTCATAACCGTGTGGTTAATGATTGCTGAAACCTACATTTTATAAAAAATCGTTAG